GAATTAGCACTATGGCCCCAGTGGTACAGTGCTAGCCTAAAGCAAAAAGAAGCTCAAGGGCAGTACCTAGACAAGAGTTCAAGCCCCAGCACTAGGCAACAAAAAAAAAAAAAAAGGAAAAAAGGCAGTTTCTACCAACATAAATTAACAGTAGCTCTATGAAAATGAAGGACTATTTTTCTACCAATCACAGAAAAGTCTCATGGGCAGATGAGGGGTTGAATCTGCCCTATCACAATGCAGTCCTTTACGGCAAGAAAGACTTTCAAGAGGAACACAATACAGTAATACTATGCACAAGGAGGACTATTTCTGCCAATCACAGTATAGCTCTTTATGCAGATGAAGTAATAAGCCTGACCTATCACTGTGCAGTCATTACAGAGATGAAAGTTTGAAGCTGAGTGCTAGTGGCTGGTGCCTATAATCCCAGTTACTCAGGAGGCTGAGCTCTGAGGATCACAATTCAAATCTAGCCCGGGCAGGAAAGTCCCTAAAACTCTTATATCCAATAAACTACTCCAAAAAAAAAAAACCAGAAGTGGTGCTGTGGATCAAGTGGTAGAGTGCTCACCTTGAACAAAAGAAACTCAGGGACAACACCCAGGCACAGAGTTCAAGCCCCAGGACTGGCAAAACAAAACAAACAAACAAAAAACCCCGCCAACAACAACAAGAAACAACTGTTTGCACCAAGTACATTACAGTACCCTATGCAAAAGGAATGTTTGTACCAGTCACAGTACATTACTTTATGCAAAAGAAGGAATGCTTAAGCTAAGCATAGTTCAGGCATTTAGGCAGATAAAGGATAAGTGCAGTCCTTTGTGAAGATGAACTGTGTTTGAATCCCACATAGTACAGTCCTTTTTGCAAATGGACTATTTGCACAAAACACAAATTGAAACATTTATGCAAATGAAGGACATGTGAAGGAATATGTGTGCACCAGAGTTAGATCCTTCATGAAGGGGAAGGGCTCTGTGCACAATCCTTTATGCAAATAGACTGTATGTACCAATCACAGTACAATGTTCCTACTAAACACAATATATTCCTTGATGAAAAGCCGAATCTGATGAATCAGGGTAGTCCTCTATGAAGACGAAGGACTATGTTTGCACCCAACAGTCCGGGATTTTTTGTTTTGCAAATGAAGGACTGTATTTGCACTCAAAACAGTATAGGCCAGATGCCAGTGGCTCATAATTCTAGCTACTAAGGAGACAGATCTGAGGATTATGATTGGAAGCCAGCATGTACAGAAAAGCCCCTGAGATATGTATTTTTTGCCAGTCCTGGGGCTTGAACTCTGGAACTCAGGACCTGGCACTGTCCCAGACCTTCTTTGGTAAGAAGCCAGCACTCTACCACTTGAGCCACAACACCACTTCTGGCTTTGTCTGAGTAGTTGATTAGAGATGTGTCACATTGCTGGGCACCAGAGACCCATACCTGTAATCCTAGCTACTCAGGAGATCTGAGGATTGCATTTCAAAGTCAGACCAGGCAGAAAAGTCTGTGAGACTCCTATTTTTTTCTTTTTTGGTCCATCATGGTGCTTGAAATCTGGGCCTAGGCGCTGTCCCTGAGCTCTTCTGCTCAAAGCAAGGGCTCTACCACGAGCCACAGAGACACTTCTGGTTTTCTGGTGGTTCATTGGAGATAAGAGTCTCAAGGACTTTGTTGCCCAGGCTGTCTTTGATCTGCAATCCTCAGATCTCAGCCTTCTGAGTAGCTTGGATTACAGGTGTGAGCCACAGGCGCCATGCTTATGAGACTCCTATCTCCAATTAACCAGGAAAAAAACAGAAGTTGCTCAAAGTGTAGCTCAAAGTGGTAGAGTGCTAGCCTTGAGGGAAAAATTAAGAGACAGCCCCTGGGCCCTGACTTCAAACTACATGACCAACACACACACACACACACACACACACACACACACACACAAAATGTAGAATGTATTTGAATCACAATATAATCCTTAAGGAAGGACTGTGTTTGTACTAGTAACAGTACAATCCTTTGTGCAGATGGATTGTTCAGACCAAACATAGTACTTTATGCAGATAAGGGCTCTAGTTTTTTTATGAAGATGAAGGACTGTGTTTGCACCCAACAGAGTAAAGTCCTTGCAAATGAAGAACTGTATTTGTGCCCAGCACAACTCAGGTATTTTTTTTTTGCAAATGGATTAATTGCACCAAGTATAATACTTTATGTAAGCACATAAGGGCCTGAGTTTCGTCTGCCACAGCCCAGTCTTTTAGGATGATGAAAGTCTATGTTTGTACCCAAAACAGTACAGTCCTTTTTGGAAATAAAAGACTCTTTATACAAAAATAAGTAAAGAGTTTTATGCAAATGAAGGACTATAATTGCTCCAATCGCAGAATAGTTCTGCCTAAGGATGAAGGTCTGGTGTTGTACCAAACACAGTCCACTCCCATACAGAAATTAAGGACTGGGTTTGTACCACAGTGCAGATCTTTATGAAGATGAAAGATTGTGTTTATAACCAACAGGGTACAGTTCATTTTGTAAGTGAAATTCTGTTTGCAAAAAGCACAGTACAGTTCTTTATGTGGATGAAGGGTGTAAGTATAGGACTGTTTCCACCAAGAGTAGTACAGTCCTTTAGGCAGATGAAGACCTGTTTGACCCATCACAGTGTAGTCCTTTATGGAAAAAAAGACTATTTTGTACCCAAAATGCTCACTCCTTATGCAAATGAGGGATTTTAATTATATCAATAATAATACAGACCATTATGAAGATGAAAGCCTGTATTTGCACCAAAAACAATTCTTTAGAGAGATGTAGAATTATGTTTGGAGTTCTGCAATTGGACACTCCAACTGGAGATGCCAGTTCTGGCTTTTTGTGGATTAATTGGACATAGTCTCATGTACTTTTCTACATGGGCTGGCTTAGAACTGTGTTCCTAAGATCTCAGTCCATTGAGTAGTAAGATTAGAGGCATTTCTCTAAATTTTGACCAAACTGTAAATTCAATCTTCTATGTGTTTTAATATAATGTACTTTTTTTTCTTAATGTGGGCACAGGTTTGGACCTGAAGATTATAGACTTAGACTCCAAAAAAGTTTCAGATTTACGGGGGCTGGGAAGGTGGCTCAGTGGTAAAGCTCTTGCCTTGCATGCATGAGGCCCTTGGTTCGATTCCTCAGCACCACATAAACAAAAAGAAAAAAGCCGGAAGTGGTGCTGTGGCTCAAGTGGTAGAGCGCTAGCCTTGAGCTGAAGAGCTGAGGGGCAGCGCCCAGGCTTAGAGTTCAGGCCCACGACCGGACCTAAAAAAACAAAACAGATTTACTTATGTCAGCTGTTCAAGAACAGTCACAAGGCCAGTAGGATTAACAACTCCAGTGAGATTTGTTAGAAAGATAAATCCAGGGACTTATCAGATCAACTGAAAAAGCAACCATAGATGGAACCTAGCAATTTGTGTTTTAACAGGCCCTCCAACTGATTGTGTTTGGAGAAGTTTGAGAATCACTGGCTTTGGTTGCCTACTATACTGTATTTTGCTTACAATTTCTGGCGGCCGAACCATTCCCTGCTGTGAAAGCCAAAGAGCAAGCCGGGAGCCAGTGGCTCACGCCTGTAATCCTAGGTACTTAGGAGGCTGGGATCTGAGGATCACTGTTCAAAGCCAGCCCCGGCAGGAAAGTCCATGAGACTCTATCTCCAATAAAACCACTAGAAACCGGGAAGAGGCACTGTGGTTCAAGCGGTAGAGTGATTGCCTTGAGCTGAAGAGCTGAGGGACAGCGACCAAGCCCAGAGTTCAAGCCTCACGACTGGTCAAAAAAAGAAAGAAAACCCAAAGAGTTCAGGTGTACTTCAAATGTTCACGCTATCAAGTCTGTGCATCTTGTATAACATTCCTACTAAGATTATACAACAAGGGGAGATCTTGCTTTTAGGTAATATTGATTTCTCTAGAGTGGTCCCTGGGTGTTGTATAGGCAAACACGCTAAAAAAATAAATAAACAAGCTTGATGTGGGCGTTGATGGCTCATGCCTATAATCCTAGCTGTTCTGGATGCTGAGATCTGAGGATCATGCTTTGAGGCCAGCCTGAGTAGGAAAATCCTTGAGACTCTTATTAACCAATAAACAAGCTAAAGTGGAGCTGTGGCTCCAGTGTTAGATTGCTAACCTTGAGCAAAAGCTCAGGGACAGAACGCAGGCCCTGAGTTCAAGCCCCAGGACCAACTGGCATGTGCAGACATACACTCCCCCCTCAAAAAAAATTAAAAAAAAAACTAGCTTGGTGCTTAAGTTCTCTCTCAGTTTTCGGTTAGCACCACAAGGCCTAAACCTAAATATGCTTGGATAAGCAAATTGTCTGAAGGAAACTTTTCCCTTTTGTTTACTTCAAAATAGAGGTTAAAACGCCATATTCAAAAAATGTTTAAAACTTCATAATCCAGGGAAATCAGGTTCTTCCCAGCAGATTCTTAAAACCGAATATGCATCCATGTCTAACTCCTTACCTATGACTAAAAGCAGATTGCATCCCTCGATCTGTAAAAGGTGAGAATAAAGTCTAAGGGTGAGAAAATAAAGCCTTTCCTCAAGTAGAGGCTCTAACACAGTACTCAAAACAGAGCAAGTACAGAATTCAGAATCTGAAACTATCAGCTTTGATCAAGCCAGTATAATCACCCTAAAGGGATTCTGCTCAGTCTTATCCATGCCCGGCCAACGACCCGTTTTAGCTGTTTCTTCCATCCGTTCGCCAGCTTTTTATAGCTCCTGTCTCCAACAAAAGATGTAGAACATTTGAACGAGAACACGGACTACAATTAAATGCCCGCTCCGTCCTATGGTTACGTCATCAAACCGCACCCACCAGGGCACTAGGTCCGTCACTTTCTTCCGACTCCACATCTTCACTCATTTCTGTTCCGCTTTCTCCGCTAAGCTGCTAGCCAGAAGTGCCGATCTTTCCAAACGTATGCTTCGTCCATTTACCTGTGCCCGACGGCCCTGCAACCTCAAAGAATTAAGGCGGTGTCAGTGTCCAAAACGGTCACTGTTCCGTATGCTCCATATAAAGGCGGACACGATAGAAAGTGCACCGCTTATTTCCTTTGCTCCCACAATCCACTTCGCCCCACCTCCAGCCCTCATTTTAACCCCTTTGCAGCTAGGAGCTTTTGCGTGAACTTGCATACTGAGGCCTTTTAAGGTAAAAGGCGTAAAAGCTTGTCCAGCGCCTGTGGGTCACGCCTGCAATACTAGCTACTTGGGAGGCTGAGATCTGGGGATCGCGGTAAGAAGCCAGCCCGGCCAGAAAAGTCCCCGTTAGACTCCTCTCCAATTAACCATTCTAAAACCGGAAGTAGCTATGTGGCTCAAGTAGTAGAGCGCCACCTTGAACCCAAAGAGACTAAGGGACAACGTCCAGGCTCTGAGTTCAAGCCTCAGTACTGGCAAACACACACACACACACACACGAAAAAACAGCCGGGCGGCGGTGGCTCACGCTTGTAATTCTAGCTACTCAAGAGGCTGAGATCTGAGAATAGTTCAAAAGCCAGGGCAGGAAAGTCTGTGAGATTGTTATCTCTAATAAGCCACCAGAAAACCGGAAGTGGCCCTGTGGCTCAAGTGGTAGAGTGCCTTGAGCTGAAGAGCTCAGAGAGCTCTCAGAAGAAAAAGAAAAAAAGACCTCAGAGACAAATGAAAAACAAACATAAAAGCTGCCACAAAGGAGAGGACTCAAATAGTAATGGTCGTAAGAAGCCCCAAGCTGCCTTTCACTGTGACACATAAGCCCCAATATTGCCTACTTAAATTGAGGCCACTGAACAAAAAAGTACAAAATCCTCCATCTCACATCACTGTTGTGCTAAAGCTGGATAGTATCAAAGATTTTGCCTGTTTTCAAACAATACTGAGTCTCTAATATACTGTTTTGACTCCAGCCAAATTAGTGGCAATTTCTATATTAGCTGTTTCTATGGTCATATATTACAGCCTTCCAGAAAGAATTAGGAACTCCTCTTTCCCAGATGAAACAATACAAGAATAATGTTCATTCTTGGAATGTACAGGACCCAGGGCTCACACCCACCACACTCAGTTCTCCGGCAGGTACAAAGTTCTTTCTCCCTGTCCCCAGGGAAGGAATAGTGATGGTGAAAGAACACAGGATGTCCCCAAGTTTCCACTGGTAAATGAGGCACAATGCCTTTGCCCCACCTCTAAAGCTTTCACAACTCCCTGAACTGCTTCTACTCCGTCCTGACATTTCAGAGCCTACTGTCCTTCATGCCTAGGAAATCCTCTGTATTTGAATTGTAGATGAACAATGTTGTCTCCCCCCCCCTACACCCAACCAAACCAATAATATCACTATGCCTTGGCTTGGCCTTCTACTTAAAGGTGAGTAAATGTAAAAAGGAAACAGATGCCATGATAAGGATTTTTGCTCAGTTTTCTCCATTTGTTCTTGGCCTTAACATTGACTCACATTGTGGTGCTCCAGAATTACTCTTTGAGACTGTACTAAAGCTGGTTTCCACCCAGCTTAGTTTTGTCTCACCTCCTTTTCCTGCTTCCTTCTAGCTCCTGTATGTAAGAGCCCTCCCTCAATAAGCCACTTATCTAAAAATTATGTCCTACATAGACTCTGCTTTAAGGAATCCCTTATGGAAGACTCACACTTATTTCCTGGTTGTTAAGAGGACTATGTAAAGGTGAACCTATTCACCCCTCCATTGTGGGTAGAGAAGCTATATCTGTCTCTGGGGAGATCAGGAGTAACGTAAGGTACAAGTAGATAGGATCCCTTAAATTGAATTTAGGCTTAATGCTAACTTGAATCAACACAAGGCTCAGCCTATTCCTTATATATCCTGCTGACACTAACACCTGTTCTGTCAAATTGGAAATGAAGACATAGGTGCTCATGCTTCATTTTAAATTTTTTATTACAGAATTTGAACAATTCTTAGAATTGTTAGAAAAAAGTTTGTATAAAAATTTGGTTTTGTTACTATTATTTTGTGATAGTAAAATAAGGGAGCTGAGTCTAAGTAATTTCTCACAGCTGTCCTGGTGCCTTTTGCTGGGTGGAGGGAATTCTCCCACCCGCTCATCTCCCAAGCGCTAACCTTCCTGGCTCCTGGCTCCCTTCCACGTATCCAAGCTCCCTCATGCCTTCCCATTCTCTCCTGTCTTGGCTCTCAGTTTGCCTCCTCCTCTTTCGGTGAAGATGCATCCACCATCTCCTCCGCACTCCCCTCATGACTACTCACTTGCTCTCTGGAATGACACACCTCCCTTACCATGGCCGATGGCTTCTTTCTTCTCCTACCCTCATTCGGCGCTTTCTCTCTATATTCTTCAGGGATTTCACCACACTCATGCACACTGATTCATTTTCCTCTCCATTGTGCGTCTTCAATCCCCGCCCCCCCCTCCCCGGGCTCTTTTTCCCCTCCCTGCAGTTAGCATTCCCCTGCCTTCTTTAGGGCCTGTGCCTCTTCCCACTCTTCGGCCTCCTTGTTGTGCTTGTGGCACCCCACACATCTTTCCACTGCCTTTGCTCAATTGGCAGAATCTCCCATAGTTCCCTTTCTTTTTTTTTT